AGTTCTCCAAATTTAACTTTGAGATTTGTTACGTGCCAGGCCCAGAGAACATTAGGGCGGACGCTCTCTCACGCAAACCTGAATATTTGGAGGGAGGGAGCACCCGAAGAGAGACATGTCATTCCAGAGGACCGCTGGGTGTGTGGGGCGGCATTGGTGGGACAAAGAGAACTGGTAGAGGAAACAGAGAATGATGAATACGCCCAGAATAAGCTCAGAGGTCTTAGGGGTGAGGGAGAGGAACCAGGGGTTTCGAGGAAAGAAATGGAGCTTTGTATTACAAAGGGGCACTGTATATCCCTGAAGGAGACTTAAGGGGAGGGTACTCAAGCAGTTGCACGACAGCCCTACGGCGGGGCATTTTGGACAACACAAAACCATGTGGTTGGTCACCAGGGAATTTTGGTGGCCTAAGGTGGGGAAGATGTACGTGAGTATGTAAGAGGGTGCGAGCAATGCCAGCGAGCCAAAGGGGAAAGGCGGGCGCCGGCGGGGCTATTAGAACCCTTACCAACCCCAGAACGACCTTGGGAGGCAGTGTCGATAGATTTTATGACTGATCTGCCGAAGTCCAAAGGGAAACAGCCATCATGGTGGTGGTGGACCTACTAACAAAGATGTGCCACTTTGTAGCTTGCTCGCATGCAGTCACGGCGGAAGAGACAGCGAAGTTATTTGTAGAACACATTTTTAGGTTGCACGGGGTGCCATTGAGGGTGGTCTCAGACCGAGGAAAACAATTTACTTCCAGGTTCTGGAGGAAGCTCATGAGCTTACTGCAGGTGGAGGTCAATTTTCGACTGCCCGGCACCCTGAAACCAACGGGCAGGCGGAAAGAGCAAACGGTGTCCTCCAGCAATACCTGAGGTGTTATGTCAATGACAGAGAGAATGACTGGGTAGAAAAGTTGGCGCTGGCGGAATTTGCCTACAACAATGCCGAGAATGTGTCCACAGGGATGAGCCCCTTCTTGGCTAATTATGGGTGTCATCCCAGGGCTTTCCCAGGGGAGATGGGGAGAGATGGAGCGTCCCGGCAGCCGAGCATTTTGTAGAAGAAATGGAAGCAATCCATTGTCAGCTCCAACTCAACTTAGAAAGGGCGAAGGAAGAATACAAGAGGCAAGCAGACAAGAACCGAAGGGAAGGTGAAACCATAAGGGTGGGAGATAGGGTGTGGCTGTCAACCCAAGGGTTGCCGTTCAAAGGAGGTTGTAAGAAATTAAGACCCAGGAGGTTGGGTCCCTTTGAGGTCATTCAACAGGTCAACCCAGTGGCTTTCAGGCTCCGGTTACCCAACCACATGAAACTGCACCCAGTATTTCACAGGTCGTTACTGTCACCGTACGAAGGGGACGAGAAGGGATGGCCACTCGGGGACCGGTCATAGAAGAAAGAGAATGCAGCAGCCATGTGGCAGAAATCCTCGACGCCAGGTGGAAGGGGAATCAGGTGGAGTATTTGGTAGCGTGGGAAGGAGAACCGGAGTCAGAAAACACTTGGGTAATGGCCGAAGATATCAATGACGAGGTATTGATAGAAACGTTCCATCAAAGGTTCCCAAGGAAACCTCAGCCTGTGGAGAGGTTCCGGAGGGAATACTTTGGGACCACTGATGAGGAGGAGGAGTTGGAAGGCTTCCCGGACTCGGAAGGGGAAGGGAGATGGACTCTGAGGAGGAGGAGTACTCGAGACCAGGAACCGCAACAGGTGGAGAGAAGTGTTCGAGACATCGGAAGATGAAGGAAGTTCATTCCGGGGTTTTGCCTCCTCACCGCCCGTAGAGGAGGGGGCGAGAGGGGGTGAAGGGGGCCCTGGAGGGGAGGTGGATGTCAGGGAACTGCCATCGGAAGGAAGGGAGGTGAAAGGGCTCACACAGGTTGGGAGAGACTCAGCAGCTGAAGAGGGAACCAGTAGGGGAGAGGAGCTGAGCTGAGGGAAAGTGAGCTGGAGGGATGGCTCAGAGACACTTCCAGCGAAAACAGTGGGGAGGTTTCAGGACCTCCTGTAGGGACACCCACTCCTCGCCGGAAACTGACACGCAGAGAGTCCAGAAGACGTGTTTCCGTTAAGGAGCTTTTATGTTGGAAGCGATTCCGAAAGCAACCACTGTCGGAATCTGCTAGTGACTAGAGGAGCCATGTCTGAGGGGCTCCGTCACAGACAGAGGTTTGTGGACTTGAACAAACTCTGAGGGGATACGATTTTACGCACAAGCAGCTCATCATCCCATCACAATAAACTTGGGCCTGCCTTTGGCTAACAAGATGGTCAATATCTGGTTCCATATTTGTCACTGCTAGTCATAGCAAGCAGCGTACAAAACAATGTACCAGCAATAATGACTACAAAACTAGGTCACAACCTTGTTATGAGGGGTGATGGCCATTTCCTGTTTGTCTCTAGAAACACATGGTACTCACAGGTACACTGCCTCTAAACATGGAGGTTCCATTTAGTTACCAGATGCCTATGTGGTGTCCACATTACATCTGACTTAAGAGCCCCTGCAGCCAGGCTCAGATCCACATATGAAGTTCTCTGGGTGATCTTAGGTCAGTCTTTGAGCCTGAACTCTCTTACAGGGCTGTGGCAAGAATAAAACAGAATGGAGAGGAGAAAGAAGAAGAGCTATGTACCCTAAACTCCTTGAGAAAAGGGTAGGATTAAAATGACAGACAACTAAAAATTCCTCCAAGAATTTGTCTTGTTCTGATTCTATTTTAATTTTTAAAAAAACAAACCATCACCAACACCACCATTAAAAGAAGAGCACAACTGGGCTTGACTTAATGTCAGCTGCGGAAAGACATCCTCACCTCTCCAGCTCCATCACTCTCAGCCCTCTTATCCTGCTCCTCCTAGGAACACCAGAAGAGCCCTTCTGGATCAGGCCAATGGCCCATCTAATCCAGCATCCGGTCTTCCCAGTGGCCACTGCCTCCAACCCTCCTAATGCAACTACATAAGAACATGAATCATTCCCAAAAATTTATTATAAATGAGGCTCTTACATTTGTACCTTAAGTATGCATAAAAACATCAATGAGTTTGATCGTCCTTGACTCTTCCTGCCACACTTGCCATCCTCTCATGCCTCACCACTATGGCACGCCATTCCCTTTGAGAACTACTGCTTTAGGGGGGTGCATTTTCTCATTCTGGGTGATGTGTAAGTCACAACCGTGAGTCAAACATCTGTGCGACTGTTTCAGACACATACCACCAGTATTAATTTGCACTGCAGAAAAAATGTCATGCTAATAGCATTTGCTATTAACTTGTCCATAAAAGCCCTTTTTAATAATAAATTAGGGCTGAGAAGAATATTTGTCAGTTTATAATTTGTGCATTAGGCATTTCCCCTTTCAGCGAAGTAGAACTTCTACATTTTTCTAAAAGTGAAAACCAAAACTAATGAAAGACATACAGTTTCTGGAAGCGGGTGGTACAGGCAAGGCGGAACGCAGCCCAGACATTTTGCAACAAGACACAACATGTTGGCCACCCTTCCATCCCATTCCTCATACAGAAGCTGACTAGATTGGCAGGTAGATCTAACTTCAACACTGGGGATAGGACAACATCATCTGGTGAAAATGAAAGTAGGTGACGCAAGGCAGGCCATGTGGCACACACAGCTCTGTCCTTCAACACCTCACAACTGCTCCCCAGCACCCAATAATCTGCTACCTGAAACTTAGTCTTCACTATATGGACAGAGCTGGTCCTGGGTTCAGACTTATTTCAAAATGATTAAGCAGAGGCAACCTTCCTATCTTTAGACCTCAGGCAGCTGCATAACCCTTCTGGTAGCTCCACAAGGACCCAATTTAGGAAAGTTCCTCCAGTCTCTCTGAGCTAGAGTTCAGTTGGCCTCCCTTTATATGTTTGACACAATCCTCCCCCTGTTCCATGTGGCCATCAACAACCACATCCCTGTCCCCCTGCTCCCATATAAGCACTCAGGAAAGCAGATACCTGGAGGCTTATCAAAAACCCAGTAATAAAGAACCACAAACAATGCATACTTCACAACATTTTGGACCCAGAAGACCACAAAAGACTACCTTTTTCATCCTTCGAAGAAGATAAAGGGTCAGTAGCTATTCTACCATCTGCTAAAGAGTCATTGTTAGTGGGCAAGATTTAAGCTCTTCAGAGTTGCCTCTAGCAAGGATTTAAACAAAAGCCAATACTTGCATTATTTTTATTTGCCTCCATATTCAACCAGCAAAATGGCATTATTTTTATTTTGCAATTATTTCTTGTTACTGAAGTTTAAAAAGGCTTGTCTCTAGGCCCAGTGCATGGGGTATTTACTGCATACTTAAGCCCCTTAATGAATGCAGATCCAACTGCTTTAAAATCTCAAACTTAGGCCGACAATTTATATTCCACATTATACTAAGCCATAATCTCGCTTAATAAAATAAAGTCCCTTTAAAATTATTATATGGTTTTATAACTTGTTTTAATCTAGTTTTATAACATATTTTAATCTATTAAAACAATTTATACAGTGATTCATGGCTGAACATAAAAATGATTACATACATATTCTGTTCGCAAATGATAATGCTGTCCAATGAGATCTAACTACATATCAAAAAGGAGGCATGTTTGACATTTAAAATAAGATCCACAATAAGCACTACTTATCATCATAAAGCAAGTTCTAAAACTATTGATAAAAGGATTAAGTTAGGAGGGGAAAAACAGCTTTACAACAATTCAGCCTGCATGCTACATGCTCCCTGTGGAGGAAAAAAACGGGTTGGTGTATTGAGATTACAGTAATCTGACCTCAGAAAGTTATTTCACAGGACTAGAGATAAGTGTTGAACCTAGAGTGGTGAAGTCAAGCAGTCAGCCTGCTTTTTTAGAACATAAAAGCTGCCTCACTGGGCCAAAGCAAAAAGCTTATACTAGGGATGAGGAGCCTGTGGCTCAGGAGTAAAATGTGGTTCTCCATACCTCTCTGCCAACCTTCAAGACTCAATCTCTTGTGGCACAAGGGGTCAGTGTATCTGGCTCTTATCCAGAAAGTAGGTGGTTCAAGCCTACCCAGGGACGGTTGTGAGCAAGATTCCTGCATTGCAGGGAGTTGGACTAGATGACAATCAGATTTGTATAGTCCTGATAGCTGACCAGCCAGCTACTGCAGCCTGCCAGTAGCTGAATCAAAAGCTCCTGGCTCTTCCAGCCAGAAATGGTCACAGGAAGAAGAAAAGTTTGGATTTAATATCCCGCTTTATCGTTACCCTAAGGAGTCTCAAAGCGGCTCTCCTTTCTCTTCCTCCCCTACAACAAACACTATGTGAAGTGAGTGAGGCTGAGAGACTTCAGAGAAGTGTGACTAGCCCAAGGTCACCCAGCAGCAGCATGTGGCGGAGCGGGGACGTGAACCTGGTTCACCAGATTATGTGTCTACTGCTCTTAACCACTACACCACACTACACCATAGGATCCTCCTCTTCCTCCTCCTCCTCTTCTTGTTAGCGATGTAAACGCTTCAGGGACTCATAATGTCACCCTTTTTGATCTGGTGGCCAAAAAGATCAGAAAGAAGACCCTGGACAATATAGCAGTGAACTGTAAGAGAGACGCAGAGATCTAAATAGAGACCATTAGGTGTGGCACGACACACCTTTTGCTTGTATTTATTCTTGACTCAGATTTGTCATGGCCAATGGCTAGTACAATAAAGGTACTTGGATTGGAAGTGGACTGTAGTCCATGAAAGTTTATGTTGCAATGATGTAATTATTTCCACATCATTCATTTTAATGAAATATTAAAACAATGTTAAAACAACGAAAACACACCGTTAATTTGGAATTGGTTATTAGCTGTAAATAAAACCCTAAAACCAAGAATGTTGTGATTGAATACCAGTCATATTAAATGGATTGCTACCTGTTCCAGACTTGGGAGAAGAATGCAAATAGCAGCAATTTTCACTTCCTTTTCTGGTGGAATTCTCCAATATTCCTAGTTCCCTTAGAAGTGCAGTGCTTGAGGAACAATCAAATGCACTTGTAACAGTGCACTTCAAATAAATGGTTCCAAGTTATAAATTTAGCAAGAGAAAAAGCAAGAGATGTTTCTACATTTTCTAAACTAAAATTGCTGATAGTTTTGTTTTATTTGTTGAGTGACTTGACAATCGACTGCATGAGGAGCCGTTACATCCTCCACAAGCGTCAGAAAGACCTTGTAAAATATATCCATTGACTTGTCTGGCAAAAGCCTATTTAGTGATAAATGATTTGTATCTAGCCTCCTTTGAAATGATGCTCTCCCTATGCATCAGGAGTAAAAACAGTGATCTGTCATTGAGGCAGTGGAAAAAAATCTATTTAAAACAAGACAATGAATTCTTGATCAAATGTTATCTCATAAATGCTTCTTAACTATACTACAATATATGCAGAAACTTCTTGCAAATCTTTAGGGATCTGAATACATTACAGGCACTTCCAAAATTACTAAGATGAGACCAGAGAGAAAAATCATTCATACTGTTAATACTGTGGTCAAAGGCAAGAGGAAGATGATCAGCAAATGACCTTTCATTGTCTCACCTCTGCCTCTATAGAACAGACAAAAATTGAGAAAGAAATCAATTGGTGACATCTAGTGATGTCTGCCTGCCTGCTTGCATAGTGAAAATCTACTTGCACAACAAGACTTATCTTTCCTCTCCTCCTCCTTACAATACCCCCCACCCACCCACCCATGCAAAATCTACTCTGGAGCATCCCCCAACTTTATGGGGCAGAATTTGTGAGCAACTGCAGGAGGAGAGCAGATGGGACGAGAGACAGGAGGAGAGGAAGGAGAAGCCTCATTACATGCAAAGATGCTTGTGTGGCATTCGAACAGAGCCCCCGGTCGTCTCACAGACTATTGACCTATACACCACTAATCTGCTGCCGCCAACCAGGTTCTCCCCGGTAAAACACTTAGTCTCAGTCAGGTTCTCAAGTTAACAACGAAGAATGTGGTTTATTGCAAACACAAATAAACTTTAAATGCATTCGAAACGCTGTTACCCTTTGCCCTCTTAGTCTTATTTTATCCCGTCTCTAACTCTTCTACCTCCCCTCACACAAGAACCAACAGCACTAACTGTCTCTCTATTTCCATCTGTCTTCCAACTGCTTTCCCAACTGCTCTTTCCCCCAACTGCTTTTTCCCCAACTGACTAAACCTCTGGCTAAGCCTTTTAAAAACAGATAGGCTCCGCCTCTGGCTTTTCTTTTGGTCTACCTATTAACATTTCTCTCCCCCTGTACAGACATTTCCGAAAGAACGGGCAAACGCCACTTCCCTCTCCCCTTAAAGAAATTTGATCAGGAGGGATAAAAGAACAGAGTTAAACTGCATTAGACGTTTAAAGCAAATAAAATATTTATACTTACGTTATACATTTAACTTCCCATACTCTCTAGTACAACAATTGCCTATTGGCAAAACATTCAATTATACAGAGGTTTTGGTACATTTTAGGCAACTCAGTTATCTACAGGAAAAATTATTAACTGCCCATGGTTAACCTTCATCACCGGGTCTTCTTGATAAAGCATTGGCCACAATGTTCAGGGACCCTTTCACGCTTCTTATGGTGATATTGAAGTTCTGCGGCAACAGGGCCCACCTCATCAGTTTGCTATTGGTTCTCATTGTCCTTAACCAAAGCAAGGGTGAATGATCAGTGCACAGTATAAATTTCTGCCCCCAGATGTATGGCTTCAACTTCTGTAGGGACCAGACGATAACAAAACATACCTTTTCTATTGTGGAAAGGTGTTTCTCTCTGGGTAGCAATTTCTTGCTGACATACATGATCGGATGCAGGTTGTCTTCCTCTCCCGGTTGACACAACATGGCTCTGATCCCGGCATTCGATGCATCTGTAAAGATGGTGAACTCTAGGTCATGGTTCGGTGCGATGAGGACTGGTCCGGTAGTCAAGGAATTCTTTAGCGCATCAAATGACTGCTGGCCCGCTGATGTCCCCTCAACACTCTCCGGTTCTTTCTTGCGAGTCAGGTTGGTCAGTGGTGCAGCTAGTTCACTGAACTTAGGGAAAAAATTTCGATAAAACCCTGCCAAACCTAGGAAGGCTCTCACTTTCTTTTTTGACGTAGGGATAGGCCAGTTCGTAATTGCTTCTACCTTGGTTTCTGAAGGCTTTATTATTCCTCCACCCACCATATGTCCAAGGTACTTGATTTCTGAGTCCCCAATCTGACATTTACTAGCCTTAATGGTCAAGCCCGTCTCTTTAATTCTTTGTAGCACTAACTCTAGGTGCTCTTTATGTTCGGACCAGGTCTGACTAAAAATGGCAATATCATCCAGGTAAGCTACTGTGAACTCCCCTAATCCATGCAGGATCCCATCCACTAGCCTTTGAAAGGTCGCTGGCGCATTTTTTAGCCCAAAGGCCATCACCTTAAATTCATATAATCCTAGGGGACTTCTAAAGGCAGTCTTTTCCTGGTCCCCAGGATACATTTTTACTTGATAATAGCCTTTTATCATGTCTAGAAAGGTAATGAAATGGCACCTGCCTATGGTCTCAATTAGGTCATCTAAGAGGGGCATTGGATAGGCGTTTGCCTTAGTGACGTGATTTAACTTTTGGTAGTCAACAAAAAATCTTATAGAGCCGTCAGGTTTGTCTACCAGCACTACCGGTGCTGCCCGGGGACTGTCTGAGGGGGTTATGATCCCTACCTTCAGCATCTCCTGAACCTCGTTGCGGATTTGTACAGACATTTCCAAAAGAATGGGCAAACGCCACATCTTGCTATGCTGGATTGCACCCATTGATGCTACAAGGGAAGAGAACAGCAACTTTAAAATAAAGAGGAAATGATGGGGCATTGTTCTCACTAGAAGCAGAGGTCGTGGAAAATCTATGCCCAAATTGCATCACACTTGTGACTGCATTTGAGGCTCCCATGATTACATATTCTTCCATGCTACCAAAAAACCTCTACAAACCTCCAAAACTTGGCCTGCCAGAAGACATAATGCCAGGGAATCAAAAATAACGTATTTGTGTTGTGTTGTATACACCCAGTATCTTAGTGAAGCCAAGCCCTCAACTACAGGCTATGAAACTCGGGCAGTTGAGGCAAGCCTGGATATGTGCAGAGTTACCTGGGTACATTGAATGCATCAGGTTTAAACTGGGGCTTTGAAGGAAACAAAAGCACTTCAATAAGAGCTGCAAAATTTTACAGGAGCAATCAGGGCTGGCCTCACCATTCGACAGAAAGAAGGAGTCCCCTCAGGGAGCTGATTTCTGGCATCACAGAAGGGCAGCAAATTGTTAAATTATTTATTATTACTGCATTTTTACTGTGAAGTGCTTCAGAGATTTTTGGCCTCAGATGCCAAAATAACTTGGCCAGGCTTGGGTACGATGTGTCTTGACTGGGGGAGGTCACCATCTGCTGTTCCAAGGTAATGAAATGGCAGCAAGACCAGTCCTGGGCAATCCACATTCATCCTCAGAGCCTCCCTGAACCTTGCTCACCTCCGTTGCTCTGCCCTTTCAAACCCTTCTGTGGTACAGAGAGCATTCCGCTCCTCACAATGGCCAAGCTGCCAATTTTCTAAAAAGTTGCCTTACAGCTTCCCTGAATTGTGATGTACTAATCATCACATTCAGAGTCTGCTCACATAGCCATCTGGGTCAATTTACCTGACTGCAATATCACAGAATGAATTCTGGTTCTGGAACATCAATGCAGACCTTCCTAAGTAGCCATGGTTAAACAGAAGTGGAATCCTGATCAGCTTGGATGACATTCCCTTTACTCCACATTAATAATATATATATAAAAACTCTCAATGTGAACGACATCATTATATTTCTCCTCCACCTAACTAGCTTTCCCATTTGCTACATTTGAATGTCTCTGAACACTCTCTAAGCAGTCCATACATTGTTTTGCATTTAGCCAGTATTTTTGAATTATTTTCAGAGAAGGTTAAGAAAGGTTCCCACACTGACAAAAACATTTTCTGGCTTGCTTTGTCTTTTGACAACTTCTAGCTTCTCTATGACCATAAGTTCCCACACCTTATCAATTCACAACACATACATGGGTAAAATATCACCTTTCCAGAACCTTGCTACAACAAATTTGGCAGCTAACAACAGAAATACTAGACAAATATGCTCAGATATGTTTCTGTGTGAATTTTAAACAAAAGTAACTCTGATAAAGATAGCAAAAAATCTCAGTGAGTCAGTGGAAGCTCTTCTGTCGGACAAAGTGCCCCCCTATGAACCTCCAAAGCCATAGTACAGTCTTACTTCTGTCGCCCACAGAATCAAGAAAGTAGTCTTGAAGGGGATTCATATCCCTGCATCTTGTAAAGTAACATCTATAGATGTCAGTGATGTGAGAATACAGTCTACATGACTCTCCACTCATTTCCTTTCAGCTCATGCATGCTGAGAATTTCAGGACCACAGGAGAGAAGAGCTTTGAAGTTCTCTCCATTCCCAATGGGGAGCACTTGCTGCAAGGCTCAACCAATTTCTTTTTGCTCCCTGCTAGGAGCAGCTATAGAGGGACTGGGAACTAGAGACTTCTCTTTAGCCTTTCCTTCACTGAGCAGCTATAGTTTCAATGGCTCAGCGACAGCTCAGGAAAAGATAATAACCCTCTTGGGATATCGTACCTACTACCTAAATAGTAAGGCAATTACTGCATTCCAAGAGGGATTAGCAAAAGAACTCACTTACAGTTGAGTGAAAATTTAGTCCGACTGGACTGAAGCTTCACTGGGAATGAATTGACTGTCCTAGAAATCAGTCCTCCACAAAGAAATGGAGCAAGAGTCAAGTTTCATTAGGATGAACGAATCCTCTGTGACAAGACTTGCATTTTAAACAGATTTGTGGTTAACAAATGGCAACACCTTTGGAATAAATTGGCCCCTTTGAACTTTGTAAGTGCAAACATCCATTCAGCCCTGCTTCTGCACCTAGCTTTTAAATCCACATACCTGTGGATGAACACTATATGCTTACCTTCTGGCTCAATTAGTATCCAGACACAGGATCACCTGGAGAAAAGGTAATATGCAAATTACACCTAGCTGCCAAGCTTGAGTTTCTGCCACAAATAGATTTACAGTACAGCAATTTTGGATCCTGCTGATAACAGTAGCTCTGGTGAAAATGCATTAATAGAATACATGAAGTCTTGACATGTTACCTAGCAGTCTTGTATGATGAAAGTGGTTCATAGTTTTGCCAAGACCTCTCCAATGTCATCTAGCCAGCACTTCAGTGCTATGAGTGAATGTAGGTAAAATGTTTGGCCAGAAGCACATAATATTTGGGGCCATTTTATTCCTGTCAATTTCAACTGCTGCCTCCCTGACTTTTACAAGAGTTCACATTCATCCATCCACAATAGCTCTCACTATCATGATGTTCCACAAAGTGTCTTTCTAGTATATTAATATTGTGGGCCCAGGTGCAATGAACCCTGGTTCCCTGGGAGCTGATGGCATGTACATTCCAATGACAGGGCAACAGTTTTGGTTTGCAACGTCTACAACTTTTATTGATTACAGACGTAAGTTGGCTTTGGCATAGGTGTTGGGTTTGTTTTTTTTTTTTAATGATATTTATTAAAAGTTTAAGAATTACAGAAAAAAGAGAAAAAGAAAACAACAAAAAATTTGACAAAACATACATTACTATACATAAAAGGAAAAGCATACAAAACAATACAACAATACAGCAAAAAAACACAAAAAAACAAAAACATTAAAACACACATCCAATGTTCCATTTCTTTATCTTTCATTTACTTGTTTCATCGACCTCCTCACACCTCCCTTTTTGTATTCTAATTTAATTAATTGTTTCAGCAAATTCTTTGTCATTCAATTTACCTTAATGTATTTAACCTTATCTTACCATAAAAAAAATCTTAAAACTTAAAACTTAATACTTATTTGTACGTAACTCCTTATATCATTTCTACTAAAGCCAAATAGTTTCATTCCAACATTTTTCCTAATAGTCGTTAATTTTACACTAATTCTCAAAATAATTTTTTTAAAAAAAAACTTTCTTCCAATCTTCATCCAACGTCTCTTCTTCCTGGTCTTGGGTTTTTTCAGTCCTTCTTGTCTATTCCATCTAGTCCATCAACCTGGTGATCTTATGTCCGAGGCTCTTAAGTCTTTTCCATGTCCCTTCTGCAGATCTTCTTCTTGTTTATACCTACACTTTACTTTGTTGGGTTTGTATCCCAAATCAGCCTAGCCTGAATGTTGGCTGATTGTTCCCTTAGGGTCAATTCTGGGTTAAAGGATCCCCCCCACCATGATGCAGATAAAATGGGGCAAACCCACCAAGCCACCACTTGAGGAAGTTTTCTGGCCCATTAGTCCCCATCTGGGTCTTTCACCATGGACCCCTTTACCAGGACCCCTTTGTTCCAGTTTAGACCAACCCAATGCTTTTCCCACCAAGATATACAGGGTGGGCGGATGGGATGACGGTTGCAGACTGTGCTGCCCACTCCCAGTGCAACAGGAATATAAGACATGGAGGCAGTTCTGAGTGGAGACAGTCTTTGTCAGGCCTGTCTCAACACTTGTGCCCCCATGTCTGGCTGTGATTGGCTGTTTTAAATTTCAAATTTGGGCAGAAAGCCCCAGAAGACTCTGCAACTGGCTGAGGCTGAAGACGCCACTGGTGATCGCTTGGGTGAAGATCCCCACCCCTGGGGTCCCCCACAGCCACATCAGGCTACAATCACTGCTCTTGATTCTATGGTAAATGGTCTTTTTCAATCAAACAAGGTCCCATATCACATGGCATTTGGTAATATCATAGAAACATACCTTGACTCTCATCTAGGCAGCTGAAGTCCTGATACATTCTAGGGCAATTACAGTGATTTTGCCAGTGGGGGAAAAATATATTTCTTAAGTTCATTAGCAATAATGACTGAATGCCAATTTCAAATAAATATTGAATAGATGCCAATAGCAAATAAATATTAGGCAAGCCTGGCAATTTCAAAGTTTTCAGCTTTGTTTACTAAATACAAGTAAAATCAGTACACTAAATTAGATCACTCTCTAGGGCATCAGGAAATTTTCTGGTACATACTAAAAAATGCTCTGATGCAAATTACCCGGTGCCAAGTAGCCTAATTTGCCTAGGGACATTTTCCAATTCAATGTTTTCCAGAAAATCAAAATAACTGAGAAATGCTCCACAACATGCAGCTTTTTACATGCATGGCACAACAGACAAGATTTGAACACTATTGGTCTGTAACTACCTGGTTCATAGCTCACATGCTATATATAGCAGAGACCCAGGCCCACATGTAACATGTCTGAACTAGATCAAAGATGTGATAAATAAACAAACACCTTTCCCTCATCTTTCCAAAGTAATAAGAATACATGAAGAGCTGCTGCATCAGGCAAAAGGCCCATCTAGTCCAGCATCCTGTTCTCACAGCAGCTAACCAGATTCCCGTAGGAAGTCTTCAAAGAGAACCCGAGCACAACAATACTCTCCCCACCTGTGATTGCGAGGAACTGGTAGCCAGAGGCATCTTGCCTCCATCAGTGGAAGTAGAGCATAGCCATCATGGCTAGCAGCCATGGAAAGCCTTATCCCCCATGAATTTGTCTAATCCTTTTTTGAAGCCATCCAAGTTCACTTTAGTGCCCTGAACTATTTTTAGAGATTTTTCTCCTACTTCTTGGATCAACTAAATTAGGGGACCTATGGTCCTACAAATGTTGTTGGACTCCAACTCCCATCA